GCGCTGCGCTGCGCTGCTGCGCAGTGTGTGTGTGAATGCAAATTGTGTGTGTGTGTGTGTAGTGTGTTGCGCTGTGTTTGTGTTGTGCGATAGAGCCGGGCGCGTGGTGCTCGTTTTGTGTGGTATGTGTGTTGAGAATCTGTCAAGTGGGTTGGTTAATACAATTGATGTGTTGTGTGTGTGGTCTGCTGAAACCTGCCAACTGTTGGCGAGGATATGTTATTAGGAGAGGGGAGCGAGAGGAGGGAAGAGGGAGGAGGATGGAGGATGAGGAGTTAGTGAATCACAATGATGTAGAAGTTTTCGTGTTTGTTGTAGATCTCTCATACTAGTGAGAATTTTATAATAGCTGTATTAATTTATGATGGTGGGTGTGTTGGTGATGTTAGCCCTTACGGTCTACATGATGTTGTTTCTTATAAATATAGTCTTCATTATGGTGTATTGTTGATAACGTCTTTTATCATATGCTTATGGAAACACAAATGCATCTGCCTACAACAGTTTCTTAGACTACGTATTTCAGGACTAACAACATTATATCTTACATTATTAAATGGTTCAGTAAACCAAGGAGGATTGAAGGGGATGGCTTTATGACGGCGAAGGTGTGGAAACGCTTGGTCTTTCCTTAGGCGCTTCAGTACACATCACGAGAATGACCCGATACGAAACCTCCTTTTAGGGTTTTTTTTTTTGTTTTTTTTTTTGTTTTTGTGTTTTGTCTTTTTTTTATGTTTTTTGGTGTTTTTTTGTGTTTTTGTTTTTTTTTTTTTTTTTTTTTTTGTTTTTTTTTATTCATGCACTACTCATTTCGGGAGCTCGCACGATGTATATGTTTTACATGGTATGTAACTTTGTATATTGCATTCGGTTAGGTTATTATATCTCCTTTTAATGTTGTTAGAACCAAAATATGTCAGTGGTGTTTGATGATGTAGACGTACGGTATCTATTTTTTGTCATAACCTATTCTGTATATGTTAATGGATTGTGCGTGTGCTATAGTATACGTGTGATGACGTTGTTTAGTGTGTTGTATGGAGTAGAGATATTATAATTGAATTGCTTTTATTAATTTGTTTTAACGGGATTTTTGAAGGGTGGCCAAGAAAGCTAAACTTCTCTCCCTGTCTCTGTCAGTACCTGAACAAGCATATTACGCGGGATGTTTCTCATTAACACCCCTTCTCTCCCTGTCTCTGTCAGTACCTGAACAAGCAGATCGAGTCGGTTCGCAACTGGAGCGAGTCGCGACTGGGAGCGTACGAGCAGCTTGATACGACAGCGCAGGAGATGGAGAAAAAGAACGTGAAGCTCGAGAGAGCAGCCAAATCGGACAAGGAGCGAATACAGAGGTATACGTACGCGCCCATCCCCGAAAGTTAAACGTATATAATTGGTCGCGAGTCCCACTTTTAAACCTCGTTTATTGGTAATTAAGCGTTTTTACTTTTGGAGCCCCTAACTAAATTAATTAGGGGAGAACACATTTTTTTGTTTAGAGAAATAAGCCACACGTAAATGAGGCTGGCCGGAATAGTTTTCTCTTCTACTTATTAGATTTGTATTAGGGATATTTACACATCTAAATACAAATCTAGCGGGTGGGCCAGATGCCGCACTTGCTCCCCCAGGCCACTGGAGGCCACGGTCCTGCTGTGCGTCGAGATAAGAGATGGATGTATAGGTGGATATATATGAAGAGTACATAATATAGAGACACTCTCATTACTCACGTATACGACTCATTACTCACGTACATTCTCAGACACTCCCGTACATCTCTATGGTTATTATGACACGGAGAACATATCCCCGCACGCACGCACGCACGCACGCACGCACGCACGCACCTCGTAGGTGACAGAGTACACATACTGCAACTGTTGCTGTGCACGCACGAACGCACGCACACATGCACGCACGCCAGCGGAATGTTGAACATGCATGCCCGCCCGCGTGCGAAGAGCCACCGCTGCGCTCGTGTAACGCGATATTTCGGAGTAAAATGATTTCTGGCACGCGCGCTGTGCGACGTGTGTGTGGCGGGTTCACGCAGCAGTGACGAGAGCAAGCCGCGAGCGGCGAGGACTCCTGTTCAGCCGACGAGAGCACGTCGAAGCCCGCCATAACNAGAAACAACACGACAGCATGATGTGAAGGTCGCAGGATCACAGAAACGACACGACAGCACGATGTAAGGGTAGCGGGATCAAAGAAACGACACGACAGCACGATGTAAGGGTAGCGGGATCAGAGAAACGACACGACAGCATGATGTGAGGGTCGCGGGATCAGAGAAACGACACGACAGCATGATGTGAGGGTCGCGGGATCAGAGAAACGACACGACAGCATGATGTGAGGGTCGCGGGATCAGAGAAACGACACGACAGCATGATGTGAAGGTCGCGGGATCAGAGAAACGACACGACAGCATGATGTGAAGGTCGCGGGATCAGAGAAACGACACGACAGCATGATGTGAAGGTC